CATTGGAGCACATCGGTGAAGCCGAAGACCCGAAGAGTCGGAGGGCGTGGGTGATCACATGTCACACCACGCACGCAGCGGCCGCAGGTCACCGTGGTGATGAAATGCCACTTCGTATTTTTTTATTTTATGGAATAGAGCCCATTACTCAATAATTCTTTTTGACAAGGTTGAGAAGTACCTACTTAACAAAAAAAAAGTCAAAATCATAAATCAGCACATTGCACTGCCGCTCTGAGCAATGCCGTGTATTTTTTTGCTTGGGAAGTTCACCTCTACATGCTTCATTGGGATTTAATTAATATGTTTCGTGCATTTTTTTTATTTCCTTTTTTATATAATAATCTTGACAAAAAAAATGATTTCAATTTTATTATATGATAATGTATAAGAATATGTATTGCATATTGCAAATATATGTTTTAAATGCAAAGGACAATGCTAGAAGTTCTATAGAGGTTTAACCCACCCGATAAAATTGGTGTACACGAATGCGATAAATGACATTTGATAGCTGTAATATTAGGAATCAAAATAGTAAAGTTATAAATTCTCTAGAAGATGCGGTTATTGAATAATATACTAACAAAGAGTACAATTATCATACGTTTCTCGAACTGCAATTTGAGCAGAAAATTGGAATTGCTATAAATTATTAATAAGGCGCTTTCATAACTTTAATGAATAGGTAATTTCTAGATACCTATTCGTCAGTTTGTATAGTCAGTATTGTCATCAGTCTGTGATGGTTTCCGAGTTTATTAGTTACAGGCAAACATTCAAATCATTCTCTTCATAGTTTAAATAATTGTAATATTAAGGAATATGAAATATATACATTCGCTACATGAGACATATTTTATACATACAAGCAACAATGTGTCCCTTTTTTAGAATCGTCTAGGTCTAGCAAAACCTAGCTAACAAATAGTGCCATAGTGAAGTCTTGTATATCGCGACTATTCTAGTAGTAGTATATTATTATTACTGATACTTTGCTTACAACGCTTAAGAGCAGAGGTTGTACATTTGTGATTTTTCAATAAATGAAACACTTATTTTAACTTATATCGTTTATTTCTTTCGTTTTATCTTTTTCTCGTTTTTTTCCATCTTTCATCTCTTGCAGCTTCCATGTTTCCATTGCGACAATGCTCATTTATCCGCAAGTAACATTCATGACATACTCCTGCTTCAGGTGGTAGCTGAAAGGACAATTTAGTTGAATATTTATGTTTCAATAAAATGTTTAAATATGAGAATGCACTTCGTCATATCTTGTTTTATTAAATTATCAATCAAACCTGTTGTAACGATATCCATGAATTCAACAGTGTCCGTATTGTAGCTGATAGTGTATAAACGACATGCCTTTGTATTCTATCGACACATAAATAACAATTTATGCATCTCAACATGATTCCAAATCACAAACGACAATGTCGTTTAAATCCTTTTGTTTGACATTTGACATTCCGTCATATCAATCCAGAATAACGGTTTAGTTTCACATAGGTACTACCACTTAATAATGTGTATGTGCATAAAAAATTAAAGGTACTAGAATTGTTAAACTTATTTATAAACATTAATCAATTATATTTATAACCGAAATGCTTATTTTATCCATAATGTTAAAAAAGAGAACGATATTTTTCGAAAACTTGACTGCCATTTTATTGTTTGTCGTGAAACAAAACGCATATGCCATGTTTTCTTTCTTCTCCTAACGGAAACAGTAGATACAAATTATTTTAATATTTATTTCGTATCCGCCGCTTTTACAAAGTAATAATTATATCGGTACGAGAAATAAAGTCGTATATATTTATTCATAAATTTAATATTACTGTATATGGTGGGTCAGAATCTGTCATTGTCATTTTGCGCTGAACACGATGAAATCAAAATAAATGTTAAATTGAAATTTTTTTTTTTATCAAGTTAATTTTTCGTTATCTTTCTTACTAGTTATCATTTTAAACCAAATACGCAGAATAGTTCACCTAGTAATGTTTATTAGTGATTAAATAAACAAAAAAATAACATTGTTGCCCAGCGCGCGGATCAACAATGAATGAATAAAAGTGAGCAACTCACTCCCTAGCGCGCGATCTGTGTACAGAAGAGACGGTTAAACATGGATAGCTGATTTTAGCTGAAGCATAAATTTTAAAGTAACGATGTCTAACGCTGATAATTTATAGTGGAAGAAAAGAGTAAGCACCGATAATCGATTTCAGCTGAAGTAATTTATAAAGCGTTGAATACAAGTTATTAAGTAAAAACAAATTGAAATTCGGTATCTTATTCAATTGCCTCAAATATTACGCAAATATACTATATATTATTTTGTTTTAGAAAAAAATGACATAGATCTGTTAATTTTTACTTCATTTAATAAAATTAAAATAACTGGTAAAATTGAAGCAGTCAAAGCCAATTACAGGATACTCACAGGATATTTACTCTAAGTGTCTTCATGAAAAATGAGTTTAAATCCGAAACTTGGTTTCAGCGGTAATACATTTACAAACTTAAGTGTTTTGAATGGGTTTATTAGGTTTTAAATCAAGAATTTTGGAAATAATTAGCAGTTATTCTGTTTATTCATTAGCTATTTCAGAAAGTATGCGTCGTAGAGCAATGGGTTTTACTTGTAGATGCGGCTTAATGAGATGGGTCGATTGGTATTATAAAAGTTCAGTAGCGGAAAAGTGCAGATAATCGGTTTTGGCACTAAGGGGACGATTTACTAACAAATAAACTTCTCGCTTTCTAAACGCGCTTTGTTCGTTATTTTGAAAATGTACATATTAATAATTATAATTTGTAATAATAATTAATAGGAGTAACAATTAATTAATTCTTCATTAATAATTCTTATTAAAAAATAATAAACAAAAATATTTACAAAGAATAAGGAAATTTATTTCATTTTTATTATTTTTAAAGCATGTAACTGCTTGATGTTTAAATCTATAGAAAATATAACTAGAAAAAATTCCACGCAGACCAGGCAGCAGACGGGACTCGAACCCGCACCCTTCGCAATCCGGGCGAATGCACTGACCAATTATGAGGGCCGCGGTAGCATAATTGGTCAGTGCATTCGCCCGGATTGCGAAGGGTGCGGGTTCGAGTCCCGTCTGCTGCCTGGTCTGCGTGGAATTTTTTCTAGTTATATTTTCTTTAGATTTAAACATCAAGCAGTTACATGCTTTAAAAGTAATAAAAATTATAACTATAATTGCTATTTCTTCTTTCAAATGTTTAATACTTGTAAAAGTATTCATTTGACATTGTGGGTTTACCTATAATGCGAAGAGATGGCGCTGCCTTGCAGCTTAAGAATAGCTAGAAAGAATTTCGACGCGGTCCGTGAGGGCCGCGGTAGCATAATTGGTCAGTGCATTCGCCCGGATTGCGAAGGGTGCGGGTTCGAGTCCCGTCTGCTGCCTGGTCTGCGTGGAATTTTTTCTAGTTATATTTTCTTTAGATTTAAACATCAAGCAGTTACATGCTTTAAAAATAATAAAAATTATAACTATAATTGCTATTTCTTCTTTCAAATGTTTAATACTTGTAAAAGTATTCATTTGACATTGTGGGTTTACCTATAATGCGAAGAGATGGCGCTGCCTTGCAGCTTAAGAATAGCTAGAAAGAATTTCGACGCGGTCCGTGAGGGCCGCGGTAGCATAATTGGTCAGTGCATTCGCCCGGATTGCGAAGGGTGCGGGTTCGAGTCCCGTCTGCTGCCTGGTCTGCGTGGAATTTTTTCTAGTTATATTTTCTTTAGATTTAAACATCAAGCAGTTACATGCTTTAAAAATAATAAAAATTATAACTATAATTGCTATTTCTTCTTTCAAATGTTTAATACTTGTAAAAGTATTCATTTGACATTGTGGGTTTACCTATAATGCGAAGAGATGGCGCTGCCTTGCAGCTTAAGAATAGCTAGAAAGAATTTCGACGCGGTCCGTGAGGGCCGCGGTAGCATAATTGGTCAGTGCATTCGCCCGGATTGCGAAGGGTGCGGGTTCGAGTCCCGTCTGCTGCCTGGTCTGCGTGGAATTTTTTCTAGTTATATTTTCTTTAGATTTAAACATCAAGCAGTTACATGCTTTAAAAATAATAAAAATTATAACTATAATTGCTATTTCTTCTTTCAAATGTTTAATACTTGTAAAAGTATTCATTTGACATTGTGGGTTTACCTATAATGCGAAGAGATGGCGCTGCCTTGCAGCTTAAGAATAGCTAGAAAGAATTTCGACGCGGTCCGTGAGGGCCGCGGTAGCATAATTGGTCAGTGCATTCGCCCGGATTGCGAAGGGTGCGGGTTCGAGTCCCGTCTGCTGCCTGGTCTGCGTGGAATTTTTTCTAGTTATATTTTCTTTAGATTTAAAATTTATTTAAATTCAAAATAGGGAACCCTTCTACTACAAAGGCGATGTTCTTGGCTGTATCATTTCGGTGGTCATTTTTTAACATTTCTGTAGACAATTTTCATTTCAGTGGACTGCCGAAAACTCATCCTTAAATATTTCAGTAAGTGGTGATTGTTGAATTTGACCCGTAGGATCGTTTAAAAATGAAAAAAAGACCATTAACAGTATATATTTTTCTTTATTTTGCACCTTTAATTGTATTTTGTGCAAGAACTATGGGAGATACGCGAAAATATATTGATACGTTTTTTGTAGGAAATTAAAATTTCTACAACTATCTAGGAACTTTTTCTATTTTTCCAGCCAGTCGCGAGATATTGACGAAAAACTCGTTTTTGCACCATTTCGCATTTTTTTGCACCCTTTGCCGTCAATGCAGCACCCTGCAATTTTAATATATTAATCTACGAACCCTTGCGGTTGGTTGCAGGTGATCAACTCAAAATGGCAAAGTTAAGCCTTCATTGACTGGACTAAAATGCCTACTTGTATTTCTAAAGAGGTTTTGGTCTACATACCTAATAAGATGTATTTTAATTCCAGAATTATAAAGAGAAAGTACAAAACTGTCGTGACATATTATTAAACCGATTTCGCGGAACAAATAAAGAAGCGGACTTACATAACACCCTGACAAAAATGTATCAGGACCTATTTGGTTTCACTAGTTCATCATTAATAAATGAAGACGAAATTGAAATACTTGAAGAGATAAGACAGGAATTAGTGCAAGAAGAAGTCGAATGGTATGTAATTTTTAGTAATAAAAAATGATTAGATATAAGCCAGCAAGCCGAGCCTTACATATGCTGCTGCAGCATAAGTAGCAAACCTTTCAGTTTCACCTGAAGATTAAGTGTTGGACACATTTCCCGTTTACGATTGTGAAATTCTACATATTTGCTAATATTTACACAAACTGACCAACACTAATATTTTTCGGATTTTACCGCCGATTAAACTTATCGGCTACAAATGTGAAAAAAAAGAAGAAATGGTTAGTTTTTTAGGTTTATAATCCAAGTGCAACCTCAACGCTTGATGTTTATATTTAAAAAAAATTATGAGTTCTTATATTGTATATATATCTATCTTATTGCCTAAAAATTAATTTATGTGGTATGTGGTGACCACATAAAGTCGAAGTTATCTCAACTTTCTTTCAACATTGGCCACTGCTTATATCTCTTGGACTATTGCGCTTATTGCTAAATCAATTAAGAAATATAATAGAAAACTGGTCAAAGCTGACGATTACAAGACAGTAATCACAAAAATGCGTATTTTAGAGTATAGCGAATAGACAAAGGATACAGTTATCAAATCGTTCAATCGATCAAATCAAATCAAAATCGTTTATTCAGTACTGTTCGTCAGTCAGTTGTTCTGTGAGTTGCTGTTGCAACTCAACAGCATAAGAGAACCGATTTCTTAGAGATGTCGATATGATGAATCGGTCGTTTCTCTTCGAGGTGCAGCGACCGGCTATTGCAAAAGTTGCTTAACTTCCCCGATCACTGATCGAACTCGCTATCCACTTGCAACTAGGATACCTGCTATTAGGGTATACATCCTCATCCTACTAATGTTATAATTGTAGTTTATAATATGTTGGTAAATCAATCACGCAAAAACGGTTGAACGGATTTGGGTGAAATTTGGCGCACTTAATTATTGTTTCATTTTCTTCATTGAATTATTATCCCGGAAAAAATATTAGGTACCCGAAGGGTTCCCAAAAAACGAATGTTAACGCGGACGAAGTCGCGGGCAGGTGCTAGTAATATATCAAAACAGCTACCCACCTCCTTCGGTTTTCACGCAAGCAGAAACAAAGGTCAATTTCGTACCAACTGAGCAAAGTCAGTAACCAAACTTGCTATCAGTATTAGCAGAAATTTACTCTATTTTACCTAACCGGCTGTTTTGGTTAATATTGACGGCTCGCCAAAGTCACACTTGAAAACCAAGGTTGGCGGGTTTCACGGTACATCACCACACATTTTTTGTTATCTGAACCCAGATACTTCTGAAACATTTTATTGTCTGATTTTGAGATTTTTTTATATGAGGCTTAAAATCTGCCAAATAACATGGAAAAATATGAAAAAAAAAACTCATGGAAATCCGGAAAACGGTATCGTTGATAAAGAACAGTAGGTACCTAGTAGAATGCCCTACTATCAGGGTTGCATGTAAACAGAAAACAGCTTCACTACACACCAGTATTGTAACGACCTTTATAATAAAACTGAGTGAAAAAATGCCTTAAATATTTTTAGTCACATGGGAGTAGGTATAATACACTCGAAATGGTTTTTAGAATGAAGATTAAGGGTAAAATAATTGCCTTTTTACACGTCTGCCAAAAGTAATGCAATGTTTATTTTCAGAGTGCATAGGTAACTTATATAAAATACAACGCGTAATTAATCAAAAAGATTTGCCATGTAGATGAAGTCGACAAAACATTCTATTATCAAATAAAAAATGTGTGCGTGTACTAGTGTACACACGTAAGAAGTGAAACTTCTTTATGGCCTTATTTTTCGAAAAATGATCTACATGCAACTTTCCAGAAATTGGTTAAATAAAGTTAAATTAGATAAAGTTTAAACAAAAGGATTTTATTATCATAGACATGAATACAAATTACTGCCTATGAAACTGTTATGATTACACGGCTCAGTAATCTAAGGCACATGTTCCACCTCCGACGATGAACGATAAGCGAGTAGAAACTAGAAACGAATTGGCAGTCCTGAGTTAAAATGCACGCGCACGGCTTTTGACAGCCAAGCCAGCTTAACCGAGCGAGTATAGCTGAGCGAGTATCGCTGAGCGAGTACCGCTGAGCGAGTATCGCTATGCGAGTTTGGCTGAGCGAGTCTTATCTTTAATAACTATTGTCACTCAGCTACAAACGAGTAGAGAGAGTTCTCGCCGGCGACAGTGTGATCATTCAGCTATCAACTATTAATATAAAAAAAGATGGCGCGTAACGGAAAAATGTGACGCGTCCCCGAAAAATGTGACGGTAAATTTTTTTCCAACGCCGATAAAGAAGTTTCACTTCAATAAAATGTATAAAAAACAAATACAGTGTGTGGCGTGTATGTGCCTCTCGCCGGCTCACTTTCCTTAGTTATTAACCGTTGAAGGGACGCGCGGGGGGACATTTCGGCACGGTAATATTATCTATATTACCGTGATTTCGGGTAGCATCACATGCGCCAACGCATGCGCGATGCGAGTCAGTCATGGGCCGGGACTCGGTAACGTAAAGCCACGTACGGTGCTGTGATTTTCTCGCGCTCGTGTGCTACCGTTAAATTTTTGAAATAAAGTATAACCATATAAATGTGTATTATTGTTTCACTAAACCACACTCCACCCGGACGGTTACAAGTGCCTATATTATTATTTTTTACCATGTGTTCTTTTAAAACGACGGTAGTATAAAGTGGGTCAAGGATGTCGCATTACATTTTTATTGTTATTTAAAAATTTACACCTTATCACCAAGCATTGGTGGTTCACTGAACAAAGCTCGTTTGCTGCGCGAGCGGCCCGGGTTCGATTCTCAGCTGAGGAAATACTTTTTTTTATTACCGCACTGTCTTTTTGTCAACCAATTACTGTTTATGGCAGCAAATAAGCTTATGTCCTGTCTGATTTTAGTACCCACTGTAGTCTACTTGCATAATAGTACCAGAGTGTCACTTGCGCGTTGACCGTTTACAAATTATAGTTTTCAATCATCAAAATAACAGTCTAGTTATGTTTAAATGCTTATTTCAGGTGCCTGGAGGAATATGAAAAGTCAGAAATGGATATTGACTGGTCTGCCCTCGAACAAGAAGACAATGTAATATGTCCTCTTTGTCAAAGAACTAATTTAACTCTTCAAAACAATAACTTATCTTGTCTAGTTTGTAACTATTCAATAAATACCGAAAAAAATCTAATTGAGGTAAAAAAAGCCATTATAAACAGCTTAGAGAACCATTGTTCAGTGTGCAGTAAAGAATTTATGTTTACGCTTATGTGTGAATTTAATGAAAGTCACATTTTTCTTATTTGTAACAGTTGTACAGAATTACAAATTGTTGTGTAAAATTTAAAAGCCTGAAAGGTCATTCTAATCATTACCTATATATTAAATGTAAATCATTGTATTAAATAAAAATTATTAATTCATTGTGATTTTAGATTTAAGGATATATTTTTAATGAGGTACATTTAAGATTTCGATTTGTTTGATTGCCAGTTTGAAATCAATAATATTTTGTTATGTAACAGCTAAACCTAATTTGTCAATTACGATACTTTACGGAGCTGTCTGTCAAGAACTCTTGCTCGGGCCTTAGATGTCTGTTACGACTTTTATAGCCGATATAATCACAATCTTTTTACTGTCTGTTTTAAATGTATTCGAAGGTTTTGGATTGGACTTGATCTATGTTTGTTACAGTAGCATTTATGATTAATTTTTAGACAAAAAATCGATCAAAATAAAGTTGTTTGAATTCAAATTATTGTAGACTTGTGTGCAATAGTGCTTCAACAAAAACATAAAATGTTGTTCATAAATGTACTTTTATATTTAATTATTAAAATTGCAAGTTACATAATATTTGTACAAAATAGGTAATGGCTGTGTTAGAACATATACTGAAAGTAATAAACTAATTTAATAAGAATATTTAGTTTTTTAATTAATTCACTCAGATACATAGTTCGTTGTTTAGGAAATATTTTTCATTCAGTAATTTGCTTTGGCAATAATGGCAATCACTAATTTAATTAAAGTTGGTCGGTTTATGGAATAATTCAGTCGGCAATCCGACCGACACCATTGGCTAGTGAGTGCCGTAAAATTTCTAACGCCTCAGATTAAATAAAACAATATTTACAAAATAAAAAATGACCTTTTAATTCAATTCATGAAGCATGGTAACAAGGTATATTGTAAATTATTATTATTATTTTTGTCATACAGTCGGGGTTAGAACATTTTATTACAGTGATTAATTCCTACAAAAAAAGTTAAGACTAAACGGTAACTTGTATAAAATGTACATTTCATAATAATAATAATATGTTGTATAAAACAGTACCATTATTTTACCGATACAGTACATGGGCATCTTTTGTAGTAGAATTGATCCTTAGTATAAAATGATCTACTAGGAATTATCTAGGCCTAAAAATAAAAGCTTTCAGTCACTTCTATGCCTTCGATAAGCTAGATAGTAAACCATTTTAATAACTTACTGTAATGACAACCAATTACATTATAATAGCTTCACCAAAACACAAACTATTAGGTACATAATTTTGCCTAAAATTAAAAATTATTGAATCTATAAAATAAAATAGGTACCTAAAATAATCATTACATGTTATAATTTTCTATGATTAGAAATAAATCAGAAATAATATTATAATGGTTAAATTAACACAGTGGTTTTTGTATTCCATACCTAGCTGAAGCGTACGTTGAATTAAACTATAAATAAATAAATTGTAAGTAAATAAAACAAAATAGGAAGATATTTAAAAAAATATGATAACTAGGAAGAATTAAACTCAGTCCACTAGACATCTGCCATAACGAAAGTATAATCTTGCAGTGATAAGGTAACAAATAAATTAATCAAATAAAAATGGAAGTCAACCCCGTATAAACAGGCCACGAGTGAACGAATTTACTAAAATGATATCTATAGACTTGTCACTGGCGCGGAGCGTGGATTATTATAATAGTACAAGCTATTGATCCACCGTCTAATACGTTGTTTAAAGTATAGTATACATACTTAAATCGTAGATTTATTTACATATAAATATTTTCGGAAGGATAGAGCTACATGCGTGGTAGAACATCAAATAATAAAACAAAGTTGGTACACCATGATAACTGGCGATATAGCCGCACTCACGTACAGGCATTTCGAGTAATCTAAAGAGAATGTCGTTGAATTACGGTCGAGATTCGTATCTACATTTATATATGCCCGTTTCTACCGAGCTGCAATTCTGCGTTTGTGGTAGGTTGCTATGGTATGGAACACAAAAGTTTGTGTTTTTACACTCGATGTCGGCAGTCTACCGCTTTCAGGCATACTTACATAAATTGCGCACAAGATTGAAAATATTTTCATCCTATTGGGAACGAGCTCACGCAATTATAGCCTACAAGCTTAAATTAAAACAAAAAGGGAAGATACGGCACTCGCGGCTCAAAAGTGATCCGCTGTAATTGTGGTGCATGACCACAATTCGCTTTAATCACAATTGGACATTCAAAACACGCTGCATGTGCACTCAATATAACAGTATTGCGTATATTCTGTGTTATAAAGATAAAACAATGTCTTCGATGCTTCTATAAAGAACACAAATAGTTCAAAATGAAATAACAAATGTCTCGGCAATACTTTTCATTCGTAAAACTGAAAACATTTTTTTCTCAAAAATCACAGTTTGTCGTGAATGTTTTTTACGTAATCGCCATTTTATTATAAAGAAAAGGACAACAATACAGCTGAGCCGTACGGGCTCGGAAGCAGACTCGCCGTTTCGCTCGCGCTGCGTTGAAGCGTACAGTTCTGTCTCGCTCGCTCGATTGAATGTTTATATACAGCCGCGTGCGTGTGTGAGTTGCTTATGTAGTTGAGTCGGATCATATTTTAATTCATGCTAGTATGAGCGTACCGTATCGTCCCTTTTTGTTTTAATATAAGCCTAAAAGTGATAGACTGACAAGCTTCGACTGTAATTATATTAATTTTAAGAACAAAACATTAAGCTATAATTAGTCCGCACACCGTTATTATACTCACACAATAATATAAATAAATCGAGTCGACAAATTTGCAGTAAATCAATTTAACGTTTCATGAATGCAGTTGCAAATGTGGCAAATAAATGGCAGGTATAAGAAAGTATTGTTTCATACAGGCACAATTTGTAATAATACAATAAATGTTTCTATGCATGGTAGCTACGAACTTATGCAATGCAGAGTTTAAAAATTGGTTAGGATATTCAGTTTTTTCTTTTATCGGTCATTTCACTACTTTTCGGCGCTGAGATGAGGGTAATTTGAAAAATGATTAAACTTTTCGAATTACTAGCAGTACGTACTGCTACTGTAACGTTACAATCTTTAATTATATACACCCTAGATACCGTATTAACTGCACGGAAGCGGCGCAAAAAATATCTACTACATATAGTAGATATGCTCGTCGTTAATCAATATAGAAGAAAGTCGCCTTTTTTCATGCGACACAATAGATATTTTTTACACTCCAAAAGGAACAATACCTTTGTCGTGACGCGAAGCAATTCGGATAACCCACGATAGAAGCCTGGTAAGTAGAACTTACCTACAAGTCATGAAAATAATCCCCCGGTCTAACTAAAACTATATCGAACGAAAAAAAATATTTTTAAGCATATAAACTGCTAGATTTTTAAAATCTAAAGAAGATATAACTAGAAAAATATCCACTTGAACCAGTTATAATTTATTTTATTCTTTAGAAAATAATACTTATGATTTTATTTATTTTTTAAGCATTTAACTGCTAGATGTTTAAATCTAAAGAAAAGTTTACTAGAAAAAATCCACGCGGACCAGGCAGCGGACGGGACTCGAACATTGTGGGTTACCAACAATGCGAAGAGATGGCGCTGCCTTGCAGCTTAAGGCTAGGAAAATTTCGACGCGGCTAATAGGGCCGTGGTAGCATAATGGTCAGTGCATTCGCCCGGATAGCGAAGGATGCGGGTTCGAGTCCCGTCCGCTGCCTGGTCCGCGTGGATTTTTTTCTAGTAAACTTTTCTTTAGATTTAAAATAATACTTGTTAAATAGAATGCTTTTCTATTTAATAAGAATTATATTCATTATTCATAAGCCTTTTGACGCTGAGGGGTGGTAATAATGTCGAAGTAATAGAACCACAAATGGCTTCTGATGGTTCAGAAACTATTAAATAAAAAAAGGAATAATAAAAATTTTGCTATTATCTTAGTAGCTTTATTTATTTAAGTACCACGGATAGATTAAAATTACTGCTCAATTAATTTGACTTAGTAATTCACTAAATGAATTCATGAAACGGCAAATCCTGTTACCCTAGATCACTTAATTATCACGAGAAAATGTTAATCACTTATATTTGATATCAATAATTCATAACATTTTGTCGGATAAGTAAATTATCTAATAAACATTGTATAAAACTAATAGATAAACTGTCTATTGATAGCATTTATGTTGTATTCACGTTCAGTACTATCGATATTGTAAGCTTTATCGACTCTTATCTTTTGATGCTATGTTATGAAGTTTTGTTCTAATTAATAGTGATTCTTCTGGCAGTTTTATACTTCATTATGAGCATTATGTGACTTTACATTGTCACCTATGTTAATTAATAATCTATAGAATAGTGTGCGGCTATATTATACAATTTATATTTTAGTTGCAAATACACCAACATATTAGTGACTCAATAATGTCACCGTTTTTAAGACACTGATTGCATTGCAAATGCTTCTCTTTGTAGATTACTCGAACATTACAACACAGACTGGACCATTAGTTTCGGTTGCATCTTTATGTAATGAGGGATTATACAGCACTCGTTCCGTTATGCTAAACAGTTGTTAACTGTGTGATCCAGTCGAGAGTCAATGCAAACCACAAGATTAACAATTTCGTAACAACATAAATGAACTCTTCCTTATTTTGGTTTAGACCATAAGAAATTTTTGTAACAGCTGCAACTCAATAGCAGTATTGGTAGGAAATATAGGAAGACATAAAATACATAGCATTAGAAAACATTTCACTCTGCAGAAATTGGACTTTCAGAAAATTGTGAAACCTCGAGATGCTTGCTATAAAGTAAAATTGTATCAGAAAGCCATAACTAAAATACTTATTGATAGAACAGAACGTGGCTTAGATAATCAGAGTTTTTCGTATTGTCACCAACGCTTGCTAATCCAATGGAGTGCGATGACAATAATCATGTTTACGTTTACTATGAAATATAATAATTTATGCTATGCGAAGTACTCACTATATAGGTAGACCTTGTACTTCCATGAGGTCCTCCTGGTTGGCGTGCGCGTGTGTATGTGTATGGCCATGAGTATGGGTGTGTGCGTGCGACGCTGGACCGGGAGGGATCGTGAAATTGTGGTGGTGTGGGCGCGGACGGCGCGGCGAGCGGGCCGTTATCACCCGGGGCTTGTGGATCTCGTCCATCACCGAAGGTGCCACGTATGTGAAGCCCTAAGTGTTCAGTGTAGGTATAGGTAGCGGCAAACTTATTGAGCAAAACCAAAGACTAATAAACTTGCATAGTAGACATTTTTCTATGTATGGTTGTTGCTCAAGAATTTTGGTATATACAAACATACCCTAGATACACCAACACTAACTAAATCGTGACCGAAACCTGTCCAAAAGGTACATTGGACGATCCACGGAGCTCCGTAAGATGATCGCGTAGTCAAAAATAATACATATAAGGCATTTTTTGAACATTGAATGTCACCTTTAATTCATACTGTTTACGGTCTTGATTAAAACGCAAGCGTCAAAGACTTATGACAGTTCGAAATGCAGGCTCATAAAATGTTACGCCTTATTGCTATATGAAGAAGACTATAGACCTTATTTCTTTGACTCTACGCGCAATTCTGAATGCGCTGGTACCAATACAGCAGGTACGGACCGCGAGGAAGAGATTTTTTATTTATTTATTTATTAAAAGGCTTACCAACAATTGTAACACTTAAGCAATTACAATTATAGACACGGACACACTTATATCAATGTTACAATTAATTATAGGTAAACACCACATTTACCATATCTGTATCAAACAGTTTGTGTTAAAATTTTACCTAATATATCTTAACTTATAAGTTATTTTGTCCAAAAAAGGGTCATTACAAAAATAAAGGATCTAAAATTAAAAATAAACTTCTCGGGCACTCAGTCCGTCAAGTTCCTACTATATAGATGGCTATATTACCGACCATGCATTTAAATATCACAAATATTTTCTATTAAATCAGTTTATAGTAAGTACTAGAACAATTTTTGCTTCACATGCGTTATATTAACAAATATTGATAAGACACCTGTCGAAAAAACGACACTTTACGTACTATAAGTATTTTTTTCACGGAGCTCTGCGGCATTTTGACTTTTCAACGGTCCGCGCGTGACTGTGAACCAAGAAGTGCTTAAGTGGAGTTCAAGCACTTCTTGATTGGGACACATTTTGAGCGCACGTGGTGTATCTAGGGTATTTAATATTGTTCTATAAAACATATAATTAATAATATTCTTCATTGTAAAGTACGAACACCACAAAAGGACACAAAATTGAGTTACAATTGCAAGAGACACAATACACAATAGGCGGTCTTATAGCCAAATTGCAATCATTTCCAGGCAACCCATGATGGAAAATGAAATAATTATATGAGTAACAAAAAGGCGAAGGGTGTTAAAGCAATTTTAGTTAATAAAATAATTATAGATACATCTATCTAAAGACACAAATAGAAAATGGAAGAGATGTGTTCAAGGTAATGATAGCAAATGACGCTTAATTGGATCACGAAAGGACCTACTTCACCTATAACTTGATCACGGACAGTGTGAGCCTTTCGAATTGTTTCCAGTAACGTATTCCTCAAGCAAAAAGAATGCACAGAAAAGAAGTAAGAAAGGAAATCAGTTGAAAAACTGAAAAAGTTATTTCGAGGGTATAATTAGAAGACGATGCATTATGAAGCGGATGAATATTACGAAGAAGTTAATGTATTGTGAATAAATTTTAGGCGAAAATCGACTAGAACTGTCCTCTATCCACGGAAAAGATCCAGTAACGATGAAAGCTACAGCTGTTCTGTCATTGGGAGGGATTGTAACTCAAAAATACGTCGAATGGACGAAGCAGTGACACTGTCAATCATTTTTAGTTATAGAGCAACAAAGGCGCGAACGGTAGGGAGCAGTCATATTTTGACAGCAGCAGCTATATGACGACCTCCGAGGCAGAGTGGTTTATACGCCGGGTTTCATGGTGAAGCCGACTCGAGAGGTCCTGGGTTCTAATCCCGGTGGGGGCAGATGCTTGCGTGATGAATACGAGCATTTGTACTCCAGCCATGGATGTTTAATATGTATTTCTATATAAATATACTTATATGTGTACAATATATGTATTCTATCCGTTACCCTAGTATCCCATAACACAAGCCTTACAGTGCTTAGTTTGGAGCTAGGCTAATTGGTGTGTGTTGGAAATATTATTATTATATTGCGTGTCCAGTCTTAATGGGCGTAAGGATCACACTTGCTCTCATGGGACCTCGATCCTCAGTGCGTATCGGGTGTTTGGGGCAGGAGTATAGGACAGGAAAGTTGGGGCTGTAGCCCAGGGAGGGATAAAATCCACAACAGAGATAAAAATAAAATTTCGACGGGTCACCAACCAGGAGGCTAATCATCTAACGAGATTGCCATGGTTACGATTTCATTTTGTTTTTCTGATCGCCGAAGGTTTTCAAGTACTTCACGCTCATTTTCTTTAATATTGTCATTGCCAATGCAAAAGAAAAAAAAGAGCGCGAGGCAATTGAAAACATTAAGCAGAGTACTCATTAGCGTAACCGTTGCATGCACTATAACCAAAAAGCATAGCGTGTACGTGGTTCGCTAACCTGCTGCGAGCGGTACGCGTGCGGTTTGCAGCGAGTCGACGTTTACAACTGAGCTACAAGCGTACAGGCTAGAACCTCGTACTGTATCACGCATGTTACGGTTACAGCTCGCTAATGAATACCCGTCTTATGGCATTCAGAAATAACAAAATGAAATCGTAAGCGATAGCCATAGCAATTATGTTAGATAATTAGCCCCCAGGGGAGGTCGCAAATCGTAGTGACCCGGGTGCCAGATTTTAAAATACGCCGTCGTAAGGGGCCTACACTGCTGCGTTGCCCCTGGACCTCTAAGTCGGTGGTTTTAGTGGATCCTCACGTCCTCAGATATTCTCTTTCGATAAAGCATTATTTCATATATAATAGTCAATTGAATACAATTGGGTAAGCTGAGAAAGGGTTTAATTTTTCTTACTTTATAGGAAAACTTACCTGGAACATCAAATTGGCACTTTCACTAAGAGTTGATTCATCTGGTGAATCAATGGGAGTTTGAAGTGTAAATCTCGTATCGAATTGTGAGACATCATCTTCACTTGTCTGCAAATAAATATTATTTATTCAAGTCAATTCATTTTTCTTTTTTTTTATTCAATTTATTTTTTATGTTTAAGTCTTCTTTCCTTTATAAACTAAGAGATAAAAATACTTAAAATGCATCAGTTCCATAAGACTGTTACCGAACAAATCTATTGATGATAGAATGGATTAGTCAACATCAATCGATAGTTTCTACCAAACCAATCGATTGATTATCGATCTACAATCGATAGATGGTAGTATGGATTAGTCGACGTCGATCGATATTTTCTACCAGTACCCCTAGCAGGAACAATTATCGAATTCGAATAGTTTGCGAGTGCGAAATGTCAATGTCAAATTTTCTTTGGAAACTTGAACAGCAGCGCCACAAAGTACGTAACGAGAACTAAAAATCAGCACACATTTGATAGTGACATTGCGGACTCGCAAACGTTACGAATTCGTTATTGGTTCGTGCTAAGGATACCTACTGACCAGCAGTGGCGGGAGTAAAAAAAATAAAGGTAAAGCCGGACCAAAAAAACGACTAACGCGTCAATAAGCAAAACGTCATATCTTAACTTGTAAAAAAACATGCAATAAATTGCATACCTTATAATAGTGTGTTAACTAACCTTTCCCAAAACTACAACGAAATATTAGGTATGGTGCTTGCGTTCCGTTGTATGCAGTTTTTTCATGCGACAGAACATACAGAACATGCTTGCTGTACCTACAGTTGTTAGTGTTCACCACCTTCACCATACATGTCATTACTGGTATTATATGATCAGCGCATGTCGACTATGATAAAAGTGGCTTTAAAAAAGCCGTATAAAGCACACGTCACTCACACACGGATTATAGAAAAATAAAAAACCAAAAATAAGTGAAACTTAACTTGCCAGCATCATCATCATAAAAAAATACGAGCAGAAATACCTCGAACTTATTTCTATTCTACATACATACTTAGTATCACGTCAGTAAGGGATTTACGGGGTAGAAGGAGCCGAAGGCCGTGAGACCAGGCCACGTTTTATTTTCCAACGATTGCTTTTAGAATGATGTTAACTCATTTAATATGAAATCTGTGAGACAACAATGTTTTTGTACTAACGCTACCATTCCTTTACGGTGAAATAAAACAAACACTATACACAACACTTCGCAAGTAAAATTTCAGTACTTTCGATTCTTTTAAACTATATACCACAATCAAGCTAATCACTTAATATCAGAATAGATAAATTAGCATTCGAATCCGTCTATGCGAATGCGCGCGAAATAATGACCTCTTTACCTCAGGTCAGAGCCGAGCGCCTTGTTGATTGGACGAACACTTTTCAAGCGAAACGGAACCTTAACACATGACAAATAAAGATTGCAGGCTATCTAAGGTCGGGTTATATCGCTGTTATATCGACGAGTGGTTGCATGTGGTAGTAATGTGTATGTGTGTGTGAAGTGCTTACATATATATTATTTATTTGAGTCTCAATATTATAAATGGCTTATCCAGCCTACTACCGTGGCGCGGACCTGTGTGTGCGTGTGCTCTATTTCAAATACATTGCGTATTTTGTATCCAGCATATTCAAGAATATTTTTACAAAGCGCGCAATATAATTATGTCGCTTACATTAACGTTTTTGTACGTCAATGGTTGCTTGTGCTTGAATGTAAATACATTAGAATCTGCCCAGGGAAGCCGGCAGGAATCGTGTTCTAAAGAGGCTTCGCCACTGCTGACCAGTTGATCAACTTCGATCGACAACTGATCGATTGGTAAGTCGAATGGTATCCGTCGCTCAATTAAAGCTACTAGACCATTCGATCAACTTCCATCGACGTTGACCGATTCCGTCGATCGATTGGTCTGATAACACCTTAAATAGCGAAAAATTTCAATGGATAATCTTGGTACTTTTTGTATATACGTCATTGATACTGAAATGAGGCAGGCAAGTTTATCAATAAGCTGAGTTAAGTTAAGTAAAGATGGGTGCTGTTCTCACTTTTTACTACGATCTTTTGTTATGTTGATGATACTTATCCAAAAACTGCAATTTCAAAGTACAATCTGCTATGCATCTTTTAAGAATGCTACCTTATACTTTGTAATGATATGTTTTACTTAATCATTAAAAATGTGGGGTTCCCTTCCTGATATTAAAAATGGCTAGTCCAAATGTACAAATAGCAAGTGTGGTACATGTGTATGATAATATATCCCATATCAAGAGACATTTCTAGACTTACCAATCTGAATTGTTACTAACTCTCCCCAGCCTATGGAGAACTTGCTCACAGCAGGATAACAAAACTATAGAATATGCTTCCATAAAACTGAGTTTGGATGGGTACTCAATGACTGACTTTATTTGCATTTAAAAATTAAGATTTCTTTAAAAAAACTAACCAGTCTCGGCTTAATAGGGGGTTCAAGACGTCGTGCAAAAACGTCATCCCAATGGACGTGTTTGAAGAAGGCGTGGCCTCGCACGGCCGCCGCCCCGGCAGCACCCAAGCGTTGCGTCTCTGAGCGTTTCATCAGGCGTCGAATCAAATCCCGAGCATCTTGTGTGAGATAGCCAGGTAGCATCAACTTTGCCTTTAATATTTTCTCTATAGTTTTTGTACGATTGTCTCCTGTAAAGGGAGGCTGAAAAATCACAAAAACGTGAATGTTGAATAATATGTATAAACAGATTAATAAGCAAACAAACATGTCTACTTGTTATCACATTTACCTGGCCAATTAACATATCATACATCAAGGCACCCAAACTCCACCAATCCACAGCTTTGCCATGTCCATTTCTGGTCAAGATTTCTGGTGCCCTAAACATAGTAAACTAGTAAGTAGTAATTATAATAATACAATATTATAGATTTTATTTTGTGATACTTACATATATTCGATTGTGCCGCAAAATGTATGTGTAACAATTCCTTCTTGAATGTGTTCTTTGCATAATCCAAAGTCTGTAAGTTTGACATGGCCTTGGGCATCCAAGAGAACATTTTCAGGTTTTAAATCACGATATATTATACCCAGACTGTGTAAATGTTCAAGAGCCAAAATAATTTCTGACAGATAAAAGCTGGAAACAGGTATAGTTTTAAGTTAGTAGTAATTACATTCCTAGTTTTATTATTTTTTCTCTTTTATTTAAGTAATGGTTTGTTCCAACTGTATTTGGTTTATTTTTAAATAATCTTGAAATCCTATTATAAAGAAATAGTCATTCATGGCTTTATATTATTTATTTATTTTATTTGTAATGAATTATGTTTTACATAAAGTGACAAGAAGCATCTGGATGTAGCCTTATGCTAAGCTTAATATTTCCCATTGGTACATTAATTAGGACCATAATTATATTACTGATATTTAAACTCTTTTAACTTAATGTTATTGGAATTTTTCACAAATTATTTTAGGATCTTTAATCTGAAAAGACAAGACAGCTTTGGGCCAATATTCAACATCAATGACAGACCTTAAAAATATATAAATCCGTACTCTTTTGTTTTAATATTGTGCTTTAGGTCGTATATTTATTTTTTTACAGAATCAGTGAATGCTGTTTAGTGTAATTAATAATATTTGTTTTAAAAGTTTATACAAAAAGCTTAAATTAATTATTTACTTGGACAGAAATGAGTAACTGAAAATAGATTTTAATCAACTTAAAAATGGACATGATGGGAATATTTTATGAATGAAATTCAGAGGTATGTTCCAAAACTACTTACCAAGCAGTATCCTCTAAAAATATCCCTTCACGTTCTAGATGCATAAAAAGCTCACCGCCACTTAAATATTCTAATATTAAATATAATTTACCACCTGTTTGAAAAGCATAAACCAATTCCACTATAAAGGGATGCTGAAAATTTCAAATATCAATTTAGATTACCTTTTTTTAGTTTAGAATCAAACATCTAAAAAATAACTATCTTATATTATGTGCTCCGTTAAATTTAGCACTTCTGACCCATCCTATTTCTCAAACTCTTGAATAATTTTTAACATTTCAAGCAAAACTAACAAAAAAAGGCAAGAGATATAATATATGCATACAATGTTTCACTACTAGAAAGAATATTACAGTGACTTGCAACCAGTGTCTGGACCCTGAAAATGATCCAAAACATAAAGCATTTTGTGAAACTTTAAAACAATGTGTATTTTATGAAATTCCTCATAATTCCACAAGTAAATTATATCCTTAATCACATAAACCTTAAGAACAACCATGTATTTTATATTATGGCCAAAAAATTACTAAATTACACATTAAAATTTTAGCATTACCTACAATATTCATATTGAAATACCATCAATCAAGTTAAAATAAATATTTGGTACCTTTACTGCTTCTAATATATTTCTCTCAGCTTTTGTGTGTGCAGTATCTTTTTGGTTACGGACTATAGAAGCTTTTTTAAGCACTTTCATAGCAAAGTGTGAGCCAGCATCAGGTCCTGTGATTTTACGAACTTGAAACACTTTTCCATAGCCTCCTTTCCCTAATACCTTTCGAAGTTCAAAATCCTGAGGTCCAAGTCGTTTACACTGGCCTGGATTGACAGTGTCTTCTGACAACTGGGTAATTTCAGATCCCTCTGATCTATAAAGAAAATATTTCTATAAAACCCTGTCAATATAATAATAAAGTATAACAAGCAAGTGCAGCCATAAAAAATATGTATTGTTACTGACATTAAATTATATAATTTATGATTCACCATATTATTACTTACTCTACAATAGTATTCACATGTAGCTCTGGATCATAGTCCACCTGTAATAGTAAAATTACCATGGGATACAAAACTTTTTTATTTATCTACTTTTACATAATATGTCATAAATAAAATGAACAAATTCAATAAGATTTAACACTGCATTCAGTACATGCAAAGCAGTGTTTTGAGTATTATTCCTTCTATTGCGAATAAGTAAGTACTTTAAGTACCAACTGCATTTTGTAAATATCGTAGTTATTTTTATCGCGTATAAACAATTCACCTATAGAAAATACACATTAAGCATTGTATCTTTAAAATAGCTAGTTAAAAGTGTATTGAAACAAGTCATCCCTGAAAATTTAACATGATACAAATTTTAGGTTACACATACTACTTGAAATGAACAAAAACTTACTTTAGAAAATCGAAAGCAATAATTACCTCGTCAACATCGATGATATCGTCTTCGTCAGAATCTCCTACTGTTACTGTATCCACATCTAAATCTAAATCAAATACACCTGCCATATACGATGACATTTCAGGAATCGCACATCAGCAATACAGTTATTTCCTCTTAAAATTAATATAAAAAATGATTTTATATTTCAAGTATTATTTAAATGAACTCAATAGACAGTTTTTATAATTTTATTCTATTTGGTGGTTCCACTTCTGTCACGCAATAATTATCTAACGAAAAGTTAAAAAAGACGAAATCTGCGACAACAAACGAACAAAAGTTACTATGAATGAATGAATGAAATTGAAATGAACGAATGACCATTGTTTTTAGTGTGGCCTAAAACCCCTTCCATACGACACAATTTGATTGCCAATCTGATTGCCGATTGAATTGGGTACAATCTGGTCGTCCGTCTACACATACACAACAAGATCGCCAATTTCAGTTTTATTTGTTGCCTCTGCTGAACGGACTTGTTTGTATTAGGTTGCCTCTTACCAAGAAGCAAAAAATTGGATTAATCTTGGCTCTAACTACAAATGTAGATGAAAAAAAAAAGAAAAAGAAGACTGAGGACAAAACAATGGTTATTCAAAAGAAAGTACTGCATGCTCAAAAATCCAATATCGGCTTTGAAGTACTGCATGCCAACCGGCTGTCGAAAACTTCAAAGTCCCATTACTCTTTAACTAGTCAATATATCACAAAAATATTTGGTACACGTAACAATAATAAGTATAAGTAGAACATACTCAAATATTACTGAAATCGGAAACATCGAGTTTTTTTACCTGTCCGCTTCACGTGGAATGCTCCCTTTATCTCTTATTGACTGCAATAAATTGATTGCTTTTTCGTACCCTACGCGAACAGGAAACAATCACTCTTTGTTTTTTCAAAAGAAATGCCATTTTAGAGGTCCATTATCTACCGAATAATAAAAAGATATCGTGTTCAGTGTTTTATTTACAAATTTGTTTACATATTAGTATAAATAGAAGAGGGTCAATCATTGGAGGGGGGGAGTGGGCGCAACATTAGTCTAACTTCCCCTGTGTGTACCTACGGCTACGGCCTTTTTTTGATGACGCAGGCAAAACCTCTGGTGGTGTTCCAATTACAGAGCATAATGCGACTCAGTGGCGCACAATGCCGAATTATGCTGATGCTTAATTGGAACGTGAATTAGTTTTCAAATGCACCAGCAGAGTGCGCAAAGTTCAGTGTTGAATAGATATAGTAATTATGAAGAAATAAGTTTGTGTTGTCTTCTTCATCTTGATAAACATGTTCTTTTCCACGAAAACATTGATGATTGCCTGCGATATTAAATGATTTGATCAAGTCATTGCAATGTTTACAAAAATATATTCCTGTAAAATAAATATGTTTATAAATTCGAATTCTAAAATAAAATTGTATTGACATTTTAAATGAGGTATATAAAAAAAAAAGTCAATGTTGGTACCTTCATCCATACTTATATTTATTTTTTAACACAGTTAGAATTAACTTTGATTATTTTAAAAAAACTACAATGAAATGAAAGCTTTAAAAAATTTTCAACAATAATATTACTAACGATAATTAATTAAATAAAACATTTCGATCAATAAAAAAAAAACACGATAATTTTTTGTCACTGAGTTGGTACTCTTACACGTTAACATTACTTTTAGGAGTGCTTATTGAGCGTTAATCAAAGTTAATCCAAACTGTGTTAAAAAATTAAATATAAATATGGATGAAGGTACAAACATTGACTTTTTTTTTCAACACTGAACTTAGCGCACTCTGCTGGTGCATTTGAAAACTAATTCATGTTCCAATTAAGCATCAGCATAAATCGGCATTGTGCGCCACTGAGTCGCATTATGCTCTGTAATTGGAAAACTACCAAAATGACAACTATCGAACACGTCTTACCAAGTGAAGTGCCGGCATAATGTGGACACTCCAAATGGCTATTCGAATAGTAAACTGGACATCGATCTGGCCTTTTCATTCCTTAGAAAGCATGACAAGGATAGACTGTTGTCAAAGTTTACAATATGTCTAGCCAGGTGTAGTGCTGGCATTAAAGAAAGCATAAATAAACCATAACCAATCAACAACTTTTATGCCTGCCAGTGCCAATTACTCATTGCTATAAAAAAAAATTAAAAACTTTTATAAAGATATCTGTGGTTGAGGGTGTAAACATGTTTAAAATCTAATAATTTTTTTCAACTTCTTTTCCTTTTCATAAATTCGTATGATTAAAACTAGACAGAAAAGTGTATTTTAAAGTATTTTATGTGATATTATCATGTAAGATGTAATAGTTGCTAGAATAAATTTTATTTTTTCAACTGAAACCTTTCAATGGCTAGTGACAACGACAAAAGTTGTAATAATCATAACTTGGATGGTTCTCTGAAGGCTAACAAGAACCACGGAAACACTGTAAATATTGGTAAGTACTTTTCCCGTTCTTAAGCTTATTTTTTGAGTGCTTTATTTTTCCTTTTTTGTCAATTTAAGTATAACCTAAGCTGCAATAGCCCTTGTTTACAACGTTTCTAAATTGATATTGTAAACACAGGGTTCCTCGTTTACAATATTAAAAGAAGCATATTAGATATGCCATTTTATTTCTTAAATAGAATATATCTGTGGTCTAATTATCTATACCTACCAAGTTTTACCCCCCTTATTGTTTTGGTTTAATGTATTCGGTATTGTTAACAATGGAAACTTAGCCTATGTTATGAGAATCCCACAGGATTCTGTAATTAATCCAAGTCTTAAACTATATATAACCAAATTTTATCCAAATCTGTTTAGTAGCTTTTGCGTGATTGAGTAACAAACAAACACAAAATCTAAAAAACACATTTATTGTATAAGTAGGATAAGGCTTAAATGATTTATTTCTTTACTAAGGTAATATTGTGGAATCTAAAAGTACAGTGTTTGTTTTCCTGCAAATTCACAGTTTAAACCTCAATACTATATTTAGCCACTGGAAAGTCCGCGGCAACCAAAGCGGCCACTCCCCCGACAGTCCAAGCGGCGCGAAGCGAAGCGTAAAATGTCGGTCATTCCGGACTTTTAGTTAGAAATGCCATTTTCTCGCTAAATAATGAAGCTAGGACCAAACAAAAAATACTACCGTAAAGCTGATTAAATAAAGAATCCATTACAGAATATTTGGGTCTCTGTAACTCAAAAATCAATTAACTATAGCGGGTAAAACTGACAAAAACATCAATTAAAAATAAACTTTTAAAATTAAACGCTTTTTTCATAATGTTCATTTGGAAAAAGTTAAATTTCGTTGTACTGAAAGGATAGGAAATTTAACTACCTTTTTAATGGTACCAAAATCTTTTTTTTATTCAATCTGTATCACTTTCAGTAAAGCAAAATCTAACACCCTGTCGACTCCTCACCCACCACGGCTTCGGCCATTTCGGGCGACGGAAATATTCACAAGATGGCCGCCGTTCCTAAGGCTCAATACGGACTTTAATGCGTAGCAGCCGAGTTGGTTACTTCTAAATAAAACTAATTCAATATTTTATATTTTTTTTATTTTTGATAAATATACCTACTATATATATGTATATTATTTATGTATATATATATATATCTAATATATAGAATTCTCGTGTCACGGTGTGCGTAATTGAACTACTCCGAAACGGCTCGACCGTTTTCGTGAAATTGATATGCATATTTAGTAGATCTGAGAATCGGACAACATCTATTTTTCATCCCCCTAAATGTTAAGGGTGGTCCACCCTTAATTTTTTTTTGGACCAATTATTTTGTTTTTGTTTTTTTATGATACATCATACAAAAATACATATAAACATAAATGTTCACCCTTTTACCAACAACTCCTATATTTTTATGGCGGTACGAAGTTCGCTGGGACATATATATATATATATATACTAGCTAATATATAATATATTTTGTCTTCATGCAGATGGTCAGGATGTTGGTTGCTTTCTCCTTATTGGGCCGGCCTGTCGCAACTGTCATTAGGTGCAAAATCTGAAATACAGTTATATATTTACTAAAATTAGAAATGCAAGAAAAAATCGCGCCCACACAGAAAAAATGATGAGCAAACAAACCACCTCTTATAAGCAAATGAGTCAAAGTAGACCACAAAACATAGTTAAGAGTAAAAAAAGCTTGTTTTTAAGTTTTTTTATTTTTAGTTATCGATGGACATAATCAAGAACTTCAAAAACCCCACATATCTAGCTAGTTTTTTTTATTTGATACCCATATTATAGGAAAGCATAAAAAACTTAGCAGTATAAAAAAGCGGTATTGAATTAAGTTAACGTCACTTTATTTATCGAGTTATTCTCAGCAAGCCCTTTCATTTGATACCCATATTGTAGCAAAACATAAAAAAACTTTGTCCGCCATATTGGATTTAAAGTGACGTCACTTTATTTATCGAGTTATTCTCAGCAAGCCCTTTCATTTGATACCCATATTGTAGCAAAACATAAAACTTTGTCCGCCACATTGGATTTAAAGTGACGTCACTATATTTATCGTGTTATTCTCAGCAAGCCCTTTCATTTGATACCCATATTGTAGCAAAACATAAAAAAACTTTGTCCGCCATATTGGATTTAAAGTGACGTCACTTTATTTTTTGAGTTATTCTCGCCGAGCCCTTTCATTTGATACCCATATTGTAGGAGTGCATCGAAAATAACCAGTCCGCCATCTTGTATGTTCCGAAATATTGCATGTAGAATGACGTCACATAGCTCACCATGCATTATCATCCAAACTAAACGTGTGTACAAAATTTCAGCTCAATCGAATGAAGACAACTGCTTCAAAATTGAGTTGCAGGATTCCAACCGAACAAACATACATACCATCACACATAGCAATTAAAAAAAAATTCAATATATTTTCCAAAAAGCACTTTTGGTAATAATTTTCGTTCCCAATCTAAAAATTTACAAACGAACAAACAAACTACCACATAATTATAAGCACACACTCCAGATAAAAAAAAACAATTTAAAATTGTATCTGTACCGACCCTTATTTACTAACAGTACATAGTAGCTATTACGTCATCGGTGATTAATTGGTAAACAATGAACAATACCCGTCACAAAATACATGAATCTCGTGCTAACTTACATGTTTACTTGATTTTAACTATTGAAATGGGTTATTTAAT